TAAAAAATAAATAGAAAATGAAAATATAAAAGGTAAAATCGCCATTTTATAAAAATTCAAAATAGATTGAACCAAACTCATAACAAAATGAAAACTTTGAACCTGTGGTGCTAGTCCAAATTTTTTTGGCAAAGTGACAATTTTAAACAAACCATAAGGACCATTTGTACAGTTATGTCTATATTTTATTGTAAAAAAGATATCATTTGACTTGAAACTGATGGTATATCTAAATAAAATAATTAAAAAGGTTATAATATATATATATATTATAATATCTATATATATATATATATATATATATATATATATATATATATATATATATATATAGGTGGTTTTGAGTGGGGGTTAGGAGTTGAAAACGAATTAAGATGGTGTTGAATAGGAGAAAAAATTCAGGAGTAGAAGTAGAAGAGGACGGCCATGGCGGTGGACGAGGATACACAGAAGATGGAACAGTAGACCTCAGAGGAAACCCAATCCTTCGATCGAAACGTGGTGGCTGGAGGGCTTGTTCCTTTGTCGTTGGTAATCTAAATATTTACTTTTTCCAACCTTTTTGGATCGCCTTTTTATGATTGATAACATTCATTTAATGTCAATTGCAACCGATTTTTATTTTTCTTGTTACTATTAGTAAATCTAGTGTAATAGTATCACGAATGTCTTTTTTTGCTATAAATATTTTCAAATCTTTTACCTCCTTTCAGAAATTTCCCCTGCACACCATCTTCTCCATGAGCTATCTTGTTTTTTTCAACATCATCTAACCTAAGGATCAGTACTCAGTACTCAGATTGGTTAATCAACTTTCCAAAAAATTATATATATTATGAATTTAGTGCTGGAAGATTCATGGATAATAAATAACTAGGAGATGTGATTATAGTTAATAATGAAAAAGTTTTGGGTTGGTTGCAGTGTACGAGGTGTTTGAAAGGATGGCCTATTACGGAATATCATCGAATCTGGTAATATACCTAACGAAGAAGCTCCGACAAGGGACAGTAACCTCGTCAAACAACGTCACAAACTGGGTGGGTACCATTTGGATGACTCCTATTCTCGGAGCTTACTTTGCTGACGCCGTCCTTGGTCGTTACTGGACTTTCATTATATGTGCAGCAATTTATCTGTCGGTAAGTATTTTCATTTTTTAACCATCTCTTATTTTTTATTAAAATATTAATTATTAGAAATAAAAGTGTGAAAGAGTTGACCATTACTTATAGCCGAACATGGACTACATCCCCCGAACATATGAAAATAATATCAAATACGTATCTTTCATTTTTGTCTTTATTGGGTTGATGGATGGCAATAAAATAAACCCAAAGAAAGTCATATTTAAACTTCAACGTCAATAGTTTTGATGATATTTATATTTTATTGTAAAAAAGATATCATTTAACTTGGGACTGGCATATATCTCAATAAAATAACTATAATATATATATATATATATATATATATATATATATAATATATATTATATATATATATATATATATATATATATATATATGATTTGGTGAAGCAAATTTATAAATCACTATTAAAATTATTGTACCTGCTAATAACTGTGATACCGAAAAACGTAAAATACTAATTTTAACATGTTTTAACAATATCCTAATAAAAAATATATGTATATGAGATTTATTTCCACGGGTCCTATACCTATAATAATTTGTCCTTGCTTTTTGAGCATTATATTAATATACCTTAGGTTATCCGGAATAGACACTAACCCACACGTGAGTTTCTTATGTGAGACACTAAACCATTAGTGAACACCATCCCAGAGGCTGTTAGGTTGGGTGTGGAGTGGGCAGGAGTGGTGCTGAAAACGGACGAAGACATAAAATTTGATTGGGTAACCTTTTTTTACCATTTCTATTTTGAATGTTAGAATAAAAAATAAAATAAAATTCATTTTTTTTCATTGGTTACATAAATAAAGAATAAAGTTTGTGGAGTGGTGACCATTTATAAGACTATCACCATGCACAACCCAATCCAACGTAACTATTCATTAAAAAACCAATTTAACTAATTTATTTTTCCTCCACTTACACAACCCAACCAAATCCAAACTTTCACTCACATTAATAACCAAATGAAAATCATTTTTTTATTAAAAAAATATAACTTATATTTCTTTTTTATTCAAATAAAACTTATTAAAAGTATTATTATTTTTAGAAACTTATAATTTATTTATTTAAGATATAAAAATATTAAAAAAATAGATATAGAAATATATAACATTCCTCAAACATACTTAATAAAAAGGATAAATTAAATTACAAATATAACATGAAATATAAAATTACATATTTAAAAGGTACAAAATACATAATATTTGTAACGAAGGATACATGACAGAAAATATAAAAGAGAAAGAGATAAAAAAAATAAAGATTGAAATTGGATAAGAAAATATATCGATATTAGGGAATAAAAATTATAATATTTGATAATTTCTTATATTTTTTATGATACATATACCTGGAAGAAAAGAAATATAATATAATTAGAAATAATTTTCTTTGTTTTTTAATGTTAGATTTTAGTAAACACTCATATATATTTTTGTTTATCCAACATTGCAAAAAGAAGAAATTAATAAAGAAATGTCAAACAGTGGTTGATATAAAGACATATTCGGTGGATTCTTGAAAGCGTTTTGGTTTTTTTAATGTTTTTAGACCAACCCAACAAATATGTATTTATCAATGGACATAGTCTAAGGCCTAGGGGTTTGGTATTGAAGAGATAATGAAGATTGTACATAGGTGACAACACTTTTTTAATTTGTTTTTGTTGATGATGACCACTCCTTTAACCTTACAATTTAAGATTCATTTATTTCCACGGGTCCATACTTATTATAACTCGTCTTTGCTTTTTTAGCATTAAATTAATATATCTTATAATTTAGATTCATTTATTCAATATCTACAAGACTGCAAGTGTGTGTGGGGGCTCAATAATGATATTATTAAATGTACCATACCTGTATTAATATGTGCAAGTGGAGGTTTACAAAATCGGGTTTTAAATCTTTTTGGATTGGTTTTTAAATGGTCTTCTTCTTAGAATAAACTCAAAATGTGGTGTTTTTTTTGAAACGGCGGAATTTTATTATTAAAACCGCTGTCAATCAAGCACAAGACAGAGCAAAAGAAATAAAATAACAATTACAAGATATAAAACGGGGAGCAAATCCAATTTGCCCAATTACAGCCACCAAAATGACCCGTATATTTAACCCAATTGAAAGTCGTTGTGATGACGTTGTCCACCATTTTCGAAGAGGAGACTCTCAGCTTGTTAAAGATCAAATCGTTCCTAGCTTTCCAAACGCACCATAAGAAGCCATAGAATATGACAAGTAACAGTTGACGCTTCTTTGGGCAATGCCCCCAAGCCGCTGCAAAGCCCATAAACTCACTAACCGTTTCAAAATTTTGAATGGGGATGTTACACTAGTTGAAAATCCACTTCAAACCTTCTTTAGCAAAAGGGCAACCCAGAAGAATATGGTCTGTATCATCCAACCCAGTCAAACAAACTGACAATTCGAAGAGGACATCGAAACTCCTCGGCGAGACAGCGCCACAGCCGAAGGAATCCGATCCAAACATGCACGCCAAATGAAACCTAAATAGTTGGATTAGTGAGCTTAAAGTCAATAAGGTTTCTTAAGTGACTGACATAAAATTTTCCATCGATACATAATTTGCAGCTCCACTTATCACTGCCATGGACTAACTCCACATGTGAAAGAGCACCAGAAAGAGCGTTTAATTCCATAATCTCCAACTGATTACTAGAAACATTTTTATCCAATTCCAAGAGAAGATTCGATTGGACCGAATCCTATCTGAAATGAAACATGATTTTTTCCTGTCAAGATTGAAAATGTTTGGGAAGCACTCGGCAAAAGCTCCATCAGCAGACCAATCTTCCAACCAAAAAAGCGTATTTTCCCCGGACCTGACTTGGATCTTAAAGACATCAGAAGAAAAAACCCTCATATCCTATAAATAATAAAAATGTTCTAACGATGTTGTACCAGGTACCAGAGAGCATTTGATTCAGATCTTAGTCTTCATAACCATTTAGTAAGTAATAACAGGTTGAGAGAAAAAATGGAACCCACTCCGAAACCCCCTCTTTCTTTTGAACTTAGGACCGTTTCCAAGCCACTCATGGCGGAATTGTCTTATGTTTTATCTATACTTCGTATTTTATATCATTCTCTTTTAAAATACCCTATCTAAATTATTAAAATTGTATTAGTTTATCAAATTACACATTATAAAAAATACAAAAAAAAAACAAATTATACAATTAAATAGATATCATTGGTAGGTTCGAAATGCGACAAATATCGAATATTATTGATATTGTTTTTCTTTCTAATTTTATAAAAATAATTAAAATTTGAAAATGTTGTTCTTGATTTAAAAGAGACCTTCAACGATAGAATCCCAATTTAGCTAGGTCTTCTTTAGAAATTTACAAATGATATTTTATAAAGGTAACGACGTATTCAACATACTTTTATAAAATGTTGCGACCTTTATCTTTTTAACTATGCAATCTTATATACATCTCCAGTTAAAATACTTTGACTTTTTATATCAGACAAATTTATTTACAGTTACAATATTACTTTGACGTTTTTTCAATTATTAGGTCCAAATCCGTTTTCCAATGTCTAGAATGGGATCCAGTTAAATCTGGTTTGATTAAACCAAATCACTAACTACTTCTTCAAAAACTGGTTTTATTCAAATCGGGGCAGGATCGGATTTTAATATACAAATCAATAAGCATTTTTGCTGTGCACATGTATCTACAAGTCTTAAGCCCAATATATGAAATCGAAAACAATAGAAACAGGATTGAACTACAAGATATTTCGATTCTAACATGTTATAAATATTCTAGAAATAAAGATTATAATAATGGTCCATTTCATTTCATGGCATACTCTCAATATATACAAAATGTATGTCCCAAATAGTTTTCTTTCAAATCTTATTAAGGTTATATGGAAAACAAAAAAATCTTAAAAATCATAAAAACAGATATAAAAAAAATACTTAGATATCACAAATCTTTTTTTTTTGTTTATATTCTTAAAAATCGCAGGTTTTATTATAAATTCGCTGGAAAAAAAAAATTAAAAAATCGATTTTTTTTTCAAAATTTTTTTTAACGAATTTATAATAAAACCTGCGATTTTTAAGAATATAAACTCAAAAAAAAGATTTGTGATCTCTAAGTATTTTTTTCATGTATTTTTATGATTTTTAGGGTTTTTTGTTTTCCATATATATATATAATATATATATATATATATATATAGATATATATATATATATATATAATATTTTTTTATGCTTTTTAAGTATATACATATCTTTATAGAAGTGTAATATGTATTCTTATATATATATAGATATATATATATATATATATAGATATATATTATATATATATATATATATATTTTTATGTTTTTTAGAAGTACACATATTTATTTTTCTGTTTTTTAAGTATAGACATATCTTTTTCAGAATGTAAATATGTATTCTTATATTTTTTTTAATATAAAATATTTGTAGAAATATAGATACACTTAATATTTCTAAAATATAAGATGTCGTTATCTTCTAAAAACTACATCTATAAAATATATATTTATATTCTAAAACATTTTTTAGGTTTTAAATGGTATAACCACACAAAACCACCCATATATATCTATATATATATATCTATATATATATCTATATATATATATATATAAATACGATATTTCTGCATGAATACATATAATATGGAAAAAAAAATACTTAAGGTAAAAACGTAAACATTTATAAACTTAAAGGTCAAAAAAAACCTTTAAAATTAGGAGTTTTGTTTATAAAGTTAATGTAATGATAACTTGGAAAACCTGTTGTAATCGGTAAGAGGTTAAAACCGAACATTGTTTAGAAAATATGAGGGCAAAAACAGACACAAAATCCAACTTTAAACAAAACCGACAAAAACCTGAATACTTAAGGGTTTTTTTTGTCATAAACATATATATATATATATATATATATATATATATATATATATATATCACTATTAGAAATTGAGATATCAGCAGACAATTTCGTCGCTACAGGCTATTTACGACGGATTAATTGCCTGTCGAAAAAAAAAACCATTGTCATTAATTGTTAGCGACAGATTTTGCGACGGATTAGTGGTGCCACAAATTACTCTGGGAACCTCTAGATTTTGTCGTTCTGTCGTTGAATATTAATAAATAAACCATGTTTCTCTTTTAACAACACTCTGTAGGTGTCGAATATGTTATTCCATAATATGAATTCACAAATGTATGTCGAACTTTATACGCAAAAATTCAAAACTTTAACATTCAACTACCATAATAAATATTAATATTTGATTAGTTAAATAAAAAATCTTCAAAGTATTGAAACCAAATTACAAAATCAAAAGGATCGAAGCAAAGCATATGAGTAATCTTGGCTATTTCTTGTTTTTTGTCTCAAAATTTTCAAGTTTTTCCTTAAGCTCTTCATTCATCTCATCATGATTACAATCAACAATAACCTACAAAGAAACAATAGAAAAATTAAACCTAATTAAACATCAAACCATATCATCCACTTAATAGCAACATACTTCCAGATTGAAAAAAAAAAACTATAAAAATTTAAAAACAACAATAACCAAGTTACACCTACTTAAACCTCAAGCCATATCATTCAATTAATAACAACATACTTTCAACTTGTATAAAAGACTTGCAATGATTAACATCAAAGTATTTTCTACTTGAAAAAAATAGCAACAAGTAATTAACTAATAGGACATACTTTTAACTTGAAAATAATTTGATCATATAATGAAGTAAAATATTCCCTCATCAGATGTATTGAGAATTCTAGAACACCTAACACAAAGTCCCTTGTGATATCTTTTTCTAAGTCTTGAAAAGATACACTAAATGTCAAATATTTTTATTAAAAAAATGTTGTTGCCTTTTTTTTCCTAATTTTCCAGATTTACAAATTTGACCTGTCATACACAACATATAAACCCAAATCTTCTGATGGTTAATGAAAGATCTAATATTTTCAAGAAGAGATCGTCTTCTCTTTCCTTATGATTTTGGGGGAAAATACAAAGAGGTAGGAGGCGGGACAATTTCGTGAATTAGAGATAAAACCTAGCAAATATTTAGGTGCGGGGGAGAAGCGGGTTAAATGAAAATTTAGATTTCAATTTCAATTTGGGAGACAGTTTATTGAGAGGGAATCGAAAAGGCAAGCGGGAAATTATTATAGTGACTGATCTAGAGCTTATTTTCAAGAAAAGATTAGTGAGTAATTATTTTCGTCTCAAATCACTAGTTAATCCCTCGTTGAACCATTGGTAATACCTCCCTAAAAGTTTCATTTCATTATTTATCGCTAAATATACTTTCCGTCGTTGATCCATCGGAAATCTATCGCTGATTTAGCTAGCGATTTAGTATGTCGTTGATTCCGTCGCCAAAAGTCCATATTCCAATATATATATATATATATATATATATATATATATATATATATATATAATATATATATATATATATAATATATATATATATAGGGTTAGGTTCATATGAGACAACTTAATTTTGTGAGATCATAAAGCGCAATCCTAGCCACTCATTTTGTAGATTAAAAAAACATTTTTAAAATGTAAAATAATTGAAAATTTTCAAAAAAAAAAAATTAAAATATTATTTTCGTCATTTATATTTAAAAAAAATAAAAATAAATAAAAATAAAATTAAAAAATATAAACAATTACCACTTTTTTTACATATTGTAGTAGAATATTAGAATATTTTACATATCTGACAATTCTAGTAGAATAATAGAATATTCTAACATTCTAAAAATCACATTAGAATATTTACAGTGTAATATTCTATTAGAATATGTCACATATTTTTTCAAAAAAAAAAACGGTAATTTTTAATTATTTATTTATTTATTTTAGGTAAATAAAATGACGAAAATAATAATTAAAAAAAGAATTTTCAGATTTTTCTTTTATTTTGTATTTTAAAATTATTTTTAAATTGAATGGCACGGTCTCACAAAATTAGGATGATCTCAAATGAAGCTGAATATATATATATATATATATATCTATATATATATATATATATATATATATATATATATATATATATATATATGGCAAAACATCTTTATACCTGTAACAAAAGATTTAAAATATAAATGTCAGCAAAAAAAAATGGTAGAGGCACACTTTTCTAGTAATGTATTATATACTTCACATGCCATTTACTTTAACAAAATTGATGAAATTAGTCTTGATCCGAATTTAAAACACTCATGAAACTCACTTTGGACTTCAACATAACTAGCTATATTCTAACAATTTTAATATGTAAACTTGTATAATGGTTCTAATTTCTAAAAGCTGAATGATTTGATAATGATATTAGAAAATTAAAGTATTTTAGGAATTGCTTTTTAATGATATAACAACAAAGTGTTTTAACAGGGAATGTGCTTACTCACACTATCAGTTTCACTACCCGGACTAAAGCCTCCTAGTTGTGATTCTGGGACCGATTGCAAGAAAGTTTCCACGTTGCAGCTAGCCGTATTCTTTGGGGCCCTTTATACACTCGCTATCGGAACAGGTGGCACCAAGCCTAATATCTCCACCATCGGCGCTGATCAATTCGATGACTTTGACCCAAAAGAGAAGGCCCAAAAACTTTCATTCTTCAATTGGTGGATGTTTAGCATCTTCTTCGGTACCCTCTTTGCTAACACAGTTCTCGTCTACATACAAGACAATGTCGGATGGTCCCTTGGGTATGGCCTCCCTACTCTTGGCCTTTTGATATCGATCTTGATATTCTTGGCTGGAACACCTTTTTACAGGCACAAGGTTCCGACCGGCAGCCCCTTCACTAAGATGGCTAGGGTCATTCTTGTTGCTGTGAAGAAGTGGAAGGTACCTCTCCCCACTGACCCAAAACAACTTTATGAACTTGACCCGACCGAGTATTCTAAGAAAGGAAAATATAGGATCGATTCCACTCCTACACTCAGGTTTGCACATCATCTTGTTTTAGCTAGTTATACTCTTTATGTTTCTAAAAAAAATTTAGTATTCCCTTACATGATTTTATTCAGGTTCTTAAACAAGGCATGCGTTAGAACAGAGGACATCACAATTCCATGGATGCTATGTCCTGTAACCGAGGTTGAAGAAACCAAACAAATACTACGAATGATCCCGATCTTGATAGCAACCATTGTCCCAAGCACAATGATCGCACAGATTAGTACACTTTTTGTTAAGCAAGGAACAACTCTCGAGAGAAAAATCGGAAGCTTTGAAATCCCACCAGCCAGCTTAGCAGGATTTGTGACCCTTTCCATGCTTATATGCGTAGTGCTTTATGACCGCTTCTTTGTCAAAATAATGGCAAAGTGGACCAAGAACCCACGAGGGATCACACTCCTCCAAAGAATGGGAACAGGCATGGTTATTCACATAATCATAATGGTAGTAGCATCTTTAACTGACAGATATAGGCTAAGTGTCGCCAAAGATCATGGTGTAGTGGAGAGTGGGAACCAAGTTCCTTTGTCAATATTCGTCCTGCTACCTCAGTTCGTATTAATGGGAATGGCAGATTCATTTCTTGAGGTGGCCAAGATTGAGTTCTTCTATGATCAAGCACCTGAAAGCATGAAGAGTCTTGGGACATCATATTCCATGACAAGTCTTGGGGTTGGAAGTTTCTTTAGTAGTTTTCTCTTGTCTACGGTTTCTCATCTTACCATGAGGAATGGTCATAAAGGGTGGATCTTGAACAACCTCAATGCCTCTCATCTCGACTATTACTATGCTTTTTTTGCCGTGCTCAACCTCTTGAACTTCATTTTCTTTCTTGTAGTGACCAAGTTTTATGTATACAAGGCTGAGGTATCAGACTCTATGATCATTCTTCAAGAAGAGTTGAAGTCAAACATTGAACATACGGTTGCTAAAAAAGAAGCGGCATCAAGATTCAACTTGACTTGAAGATCTAATTAATCGTGAAAAAAGAAAATATTTATAATGAAATGAAAAAGGATTGATTTTTGTACGTAAAACTGTATACGTACATGTGATGTTGGTGCATTGTTGTAAACATGTATGTGTAGTTGTTTCTCTGTTTTTGATCATGTTGCACCAGTAATTTTTTTTTATAACAATGCGTTTAGAAGATGAAATTATTTACAGAAAATGAATATACATTGTACAATGAATGAAGAATAAAGTTCACTGAAAAACCAAGTCCACCTCCCGAAAAACCAGAATTTACAAGATGTTGATATCCTGCTTCAATTGTATTTTCCCTCCAGAAATAGAATCCCTTGAATTTGAGATTATTAGAATTAGTCGATCCTTGTGCGGTTTATCTATTTCATTTAAAGCATATTTAGGCCCGCTTGGCTAGCTGGAAAGTTCTCTTCAAGAATGAATTTGCAATACGATCTTTTCTATGGCACAAAACACGTAACATAGTGTTAGGGTCACTGCTGCACCACCTTCCGGTGGTGGGAGGCATAGGCAGTGTTTGGCCTGAACTTACTCCAATACCGCTAGCCTCACAGGCCACCACAGTGAAGTCCTCGATCAATTCCTCGGTTGACTTCCCCATTAAGGCTACGACTCCTTCCACAGTCTCAGCCTCCTTTTCCACCACATCCTCCTGGAGTACAAGCCCTTCTCCATAAGTTGTAAATACCTTCTTCAAATGCCTTAAATCATCTTCAATCATCTCATGATCCACCCTGGTGAAACATCGGGTCCCTCCACCAGCTATTAAAACCATAAGGTAGGCTTCGAAAGAAGCCTTCATGACTTCTTTAATTGCCAAAGGTTGAGCTCGTTCTGTGACGATGACACTTAAGAGGGTCAGATTCTGTTTGAGAACTCTAAGAGCTGGGCTGATTCGTGCATTCACTACATGACCTACGTATAGGCTGCCATAAAGAACCGAGTTTGAATCAAGAAATATCAGGCGGTAGGCTGCGACCTCAGACACATGTTGAGTGGCAGCCATAATGGAGGATCGAGCATGCTCAAAGTGGGCCCCGCCGGCAGCATGGCGGCGGCTGCTGCTAGCACGGTTTTTATGTGAAGGAATAATTCTAGAGGAATGGGCAAAACACTTTTCAAGGGAAGTAAGTTGGGAAATAAGGTAGTGTAAGGTGTTGAGACGGATGTAGAGACGTTGTGTTCCACGGCTGGTGGAAGGCCGTGGATGGTTGCCTTCCTCCAACCCCAAATGATACGGACTCATTCCTGCTACTGCACAAGGTGTTGCCTTTTTCCAGAGTTTGGCTAATTTTGATCCTCGGCTACATCTTGTTAGAGGAGGGAGCGCCGGAATATAGTTTTGTTTTGTACCTGAGAACAATCAATAAGCACATATCATTTTTAAAAGTTATACAATATTCTAAATAAAACTGATACCATATGTTTGATGAGATCTTATTATAGCCAATATATTAGATACGTGGGAATCCTAGCTTTTTTCTAACTAATTAAAAAGCCCGTTAACAATAAAAATCAAAAAACAATATATGTGTACCGCATGAGGCAACGAAAGTAGTATAGTCTCGCAAAATTCTCTCAACTCCATCTGCAAAATCTTCAACCATAGTTTCAGATATAGCAATTGGAATCTCAAAGAAGGAAATCAGAAGATCTCTAGCCTGCTTCAGTAGCTCTACGGCTGATTGTGCATAAGGTTCAGTTTTCGACTTTGGATTCCATGTCTTGGTTAAAAAAAAAATTGATTGAGTTAACATAATTATTAAATTACTTAAATAGTGATTTTTAACTTTTTGTTACGTACTTCGGATTCTTTAGCTCGGTGAACAACCTCTCTGATTTTTTTCAGCCTGCTGCCAACGGACTGCTTCAAAAATTTTGCAATGATGGAATCCACTTCATAAGGGACCATCTCTCTTATAACATTCTTGCCACCATCTTCACATTCTACAGAGTCTTCAACAATCATGTTAACCAGCACCTTTTGAAGCTTGTCAGCTCGATGTAAGACTGTGAGCATCTCGTGGCTGATGTCAGAGTTACATGACAAGAACTGCTTCAACAAGACACCGTAGCATGAGTGCAGTGTCAAGGCTCCAACTCCACCTGATATAGGGTTCCATCTCTTCAACACCACGCAATAAGTTTCCTTTTCTTTAAACGCTAATTCCTCTGTTTCATTTGCTAATTGGACAAGTGTTTCACACACTTGTTGTGATGGCGTGTTTCTGCTTATCAAATTTCGGTTCCCTACCATCTGTTACATGTATGATAGATAGATATATACTACCTCATCAAGTCCCAATATTAAATTATTTATGAAATCGTGTGTTAGTTAATTACCTTGGTGAATGCTTTCTTTAAAGATGATCTGGTGTATTGGTCAACATTATTCCCTGCGGAATCTGAAGTTAGATCGCCTTTCAGTTCATATCCATATCCAGGTACATCTTCTTCCAAGATTCTGGTGGCCGAGAAAACCAGAGGAAGAATATGCTCCATCACGCCAATCGTTCCTTTGTTAAAACTTTCATGGTAATCCAGTAATCGGTTCTCGCACCACTTAGTCATTGAAGTCAAGACAGAAGACAACATCTTTACATAGACGGGCTCTCTATCAACTTTCTTGGAGTCGTTTGCCACTTCTGTCAACATGGTCAAGGAGGCACTAAGAAGATCGTTCTCCACGTGTCCTGCCGTAACATATTGCTCGAAAAGTACCCAAGTGAGACACAAGTCATGCATGGGCTTGTTGATTCCGAAAGTACTCCATGTTTTCTTCATAAGCTCAAGGAGATCATCCACCTCGTCAAGGATGCTAGTCTGGTCTTTTGAGTCGAAGATGGAATGAAGGAGGGCAGAATAGAGGTTGACGTTGAATGGGAAACCATCAGCCCAGTGGCAAACGTCAGTTGGGCACCCATCGGCGCTCCTCCATGCCAATGAAACCACGCAATTACACACATTTCTCATGGTCTCAGAGTTTTTTCCGGTATCGATTGGCTTAACATCGCTGCTACGAACCACGTCTCGAAGACACATTGCAAAGGAGTCGGATTTGTCCAGGGGGTTTGAGGGGTGAAGGAGGAGTCCTGCCTCCAGGATCTTTAGTTGACGTTTTTGCCAGATGTGATACTCTTTTGAATCGTTAAATTCAGATGGCTTTAGATGTCGGAGGAGCTCTAATGGAAGAATGATCGTCTCTGCACGTCTTCCCATCTATATATTGTTTTATTCAATTTGTTAGACCTAGTTACGGAATTAATTAAAGAATCATGAATGTCGGATCGATCATTCAAAAATTCGGTGTAATGAATGATCGATGTGAAACATTTAATTACTTGCCTGTCCAACGAGGGTTCTCATTAGTGTCTTTCGCAGCCTGTTATCACTTGCCTCCGGCACGTTCATCTGTTGTCGCATGATCTCTGCGGACGTCAATGGCCTCCTAGACCTCCCTGGTACAGTCGAAAATCCAATGCCGGGGCTCGCATTTCCATGGTGTCCTCCGGGAGACAAGGGATTCGTCCCGCAGGAGTTGCTTCTCCGTGAAGAATGAGATCGTTTTAGCATCTTCAACCCAAGCGCCCTCTTGATTTTACTGGTTACTGCCATCCCCACCCCATGACCCCCTGCTTTTGCCGGAGATCCAGTACCACCAGACGCATTATCCCCTCCATTACTTTCCGACGAGTAAAATTGGATGGCATTACGACCTCCGAAACCTGGCGAAGATCTGCATGACGTGAAGAATATTTCATAAGCAGTCGTACGAATGTCATCATGGTCAAGGCCTTCGAGGGTTCCGAAAGGCCAGCACAGGTCATGATCTAGGCGGGTGGTGGTGGTGTTGGTGTTGTCATATTGTGGCATGGTGGTAATTATTGGTGAAGATGGAAAAGGGGTTGTCAAATTCCGTCCAAGAGATACGTCGTCAGATATCCGGCGGAAAAGACATACGAGAGCAGCAAAACATCCTTTTTAATTTTTATTAATCTTTTAAAATTGGAAAAACAACAAGGATGAGGAGAGAGACAAATAGGTCGTTAAGTTTCTCTGGACATAGATATCCATGTTTTTTCAAAGGCCATCATTTTTCTGTAGACGCCAAGTGCATGGTTCAACTGCCATAATAATTATTGTTGCCTTTGTTATTATATAACAAAGTTATCCCAAAAAAAAAAAAAAAAAAAGACAACGAGACTATCTTGAGATAAGGTCGTCCGGTATACACAAGACGAAAGCCTCCATGGTCTGGCTGGCCATGAACCACGATCGTTCACACCACCCCGGTACCTTGTCGTGGCTCTGGGTCATGGTAGTTCATGTTGCAGAGGACGGAGGAGGACGACCAATCAGGTCTCACTTCTCCTCTCTTCCTTTCTTCTTCTCTCTTGCAGACCACGAGGAAGACAATATTGAGCATCATCCTGACTATGTTAAAGAAGACGATGACGGTGACGTAGAGGTGGAAGTCGACTGTGGTCGTGAAGACCATACTGGATGGTCTTCTATTAGATGCACTGATGGTGCAATACAAGTAAACATATTGATATACGTTTTTTTATGGAATTAATGGTCTCGGTATCGAAGAAATATGAACTTTAGTCGACAATTAAATACGAAAAAAAAATCTGACCAACTAGTTTGCTAAACAAAATAGATACAAAATAATAACGAAAGTAAAATAAAGTACTCAAACAATACCAACAAAAATATATACTAGATCCATTATAGATGTGATCTCTATTTCAATAAATAATAATTTTTTGTGTTAAATGTCACGTTTAGACAAGTGGGTTGGTCTTCCTCTCAACATCATTTTTTTTTGACACATTACCTGTTATGTCGTTCTTCATGCCACTTCATTTTTATTAGA